CTCTTTAATAGTTGTGTTGACGGACTTAGGACTGCTTCAAAAGAAGAAACTGTAAACAAAGAAGTTGGAAGTAGAAATAGGAAAGGAATACAAGTTTAGTTCTTGTAAAGAAACTTGTAAAGCACCTGCGTGAAGCAACAACTACTCGGTCCCCAGAGAGTAAAAATTCACGAGCAAGAGCTTTCCCCAATCCCCTTGTACTTCAGCAACAATAAGAGGGTAATCAGCATAGAGTGATATAGAGTAATAAGTAGAAAAAACAGAATCCAAAATGACTTCGTAGAACTAACTCTGAACCAAGAAGGAAACTAGCTATGCGAGCATGAATAACACTTAAAAACTCCAATAGTTCTTCATACAAGCTTGCATCACAAATTAAGTCTAGAATATTTTTAAAAGGTTTGCACCCGGTAAGAACTATAGTTCTTGTGCTTAAATGAAGCCACTTAAATCATCAATCAGGCAAGCTAATTAATTAGTCTAGGGCCACATGCATTGGAATATGACTTCCAATAACCTAAACAAAAGTGCATTACCAGCACTCTCAAGAGGAAAAAAATCATTTTGGATGATTTGCATCAATTAAAAGCAAATAGATAAAACAAATCACCCTCCCATTAGGAGGATTTTACCTGCCAGTTATGACAACATTGCGAGGCCCGGCTCTGCTCACTTCGTCCAGCACCATATTGGAACCAATCATAGTCCCGATAATGATCCCTCCAAGCCAACTATACCATATCAACTCGTTCATCTGGCCATCACCACCTTAAATCCCAAGCAAACAAATTATCGATTTGCCCATCAGTTATCAACTTTGAAACAAAAATCAAACTTGTGATGCTAGATTGTAGTAAAAGAAAGTAGATATCTTTGTTTTTCTTTCCCTTTTATCTTGAAGGAAAACATGGTACAGTGAATAAATTCTCAGCTAACCTGACAACCGAAAACCGATCAATAATATAGCACCAGTGCTCATCATTGTCACGATGTATCTTGCAATTTGAATAGCCACCTGCTTATTTCTTAAATATCAAAATCACAAAAAATCACAGAGACTCAAAAAATACCAAAATCCCAGAGAAATACGAGCATAAAATTTCATTTGTTAATACATGCAACAGACTATGTCTATTAGTTCCTCAAGAGCACTTGCCTAATCTTAAATCCTCTATTTCCGGACATCTTAAAAAAATGAAAAAGACAAAAACTTTCCCGAGTAAATAGTTCAAGATAAGCTCCATATTACACACGAGACCCTAAACCTCCAACGCTTCTCCATTTAGTTCTTTTTTCCTATTTTTAACAGCAGGGAAGCAAAATAATTACCCCCGATAACTTCTCCTCCAACTGCTCCAAAGCTTGCGATCGTGAGCTGGGCTTCGAAAATTTCCAAACAAAAGACCGAATAGCCCGCAATACTTCATCGGCACTGGTCTTGGACTGCAACCCATTTTTTCCCTTCAAAATTTCACCTTTGCTCACTCTTTCGTTCGGTTCGTCCTCGGACCTGAAAGACCTGCATGGTCTAAACCGAATTCTACAACGACCCTTTACACTAACGGAATCCCACGTCAAAATACTAGGAGGGAAACCTTGCCGGACCGGCGGCGAATGGACCGTCCATTTGGTATAAGGTGACACGTGCAACTTTGCCATGGTGGCCATCCTGGAAAGAAGTTATCCTATGTCGTTGTAGCTGAGGTTGTACAGAGAGATGAGATGGGTTCATGAAAGAAATGGTAACGTTCAAATCTTTAGGGACGGAGGCTGGGACCTTGTGAACATTGAGCAAAATTTTGAGCTGGAAATATCCGAGGAATTGGAAAGATATGGAGGATCAAAATTCAAAGCAAAAAAACATAGGCAAGCAACGAAGCATAGGGGCAAGAAGTGGAGTGTGATGTCCACACGTTACAGCTACCTCATCGACTCACGCAACGTGGCGTTTTGATCACTCTTTGGAAGTTTGTAAGCTGTCACTTTTGCTTCGACAGGACGACTGTTTAATCCCCTCATTGCATTCGAGTATTCAGTATTCGCTCTGGAATCGCGTGGGGATCAACCGTCAATGAATGGTGAGTTGGTAACTCCACAGCAACAGATGACCGGCGATTCTTGCCTTCCCGTCAAAATCGAACCAAGATATTTTACCACCGGTTGCGATGATCGGGAAAACTCCAGAACGGACGAATTCGGGCAGCAACTTGTAGCAAGCGTCCATGTTTTTAATCAAAATCATTTATTTCTGGTTAGAAATCATTTTTCTATAAGGGTCTAGTGACTCTTGGGAATTGGTGCCTGTTGTCACTAGTTAAGATTTATTTTAAATATTATATTTTTAAAATATAAAATTAATTTAAAAATAGATAAATACAATAAATAACAGATAAAATTAAATAAAATATATAAATATAAGGAATAATAATAATTATTAATATGCACGCGTGCACGCACATATATATATATATATATATATAACAAATTAGATAAATGTAATACCGGCGCCTGATAAGTACGTGCAAGAAAATCTCTCCTACAAAAACGTAAAAAACATGTGTTATTGTACGAGCTTGGTCCATTGCTTAATCCAATGTCAATTTCACACTCAGGGTCATGCATTTTCAACTTCCAAATCTTAAGTGAAAAATTTTCCATCTTGAAAGTGTGTGGACAGGTTATTATTTGAATTTTTTCCTTTATATCATAAACGTGTATTTAATTATCATTTCCTTTTTTTTATTATTTTTTATTATACACACCATTTTGTACCGTTTAGTTTTTATTAATCTATCATTTTGAATTCAGTAAAACATTTGAATTGCAACCAATCCATCACATTGATAGGAACACCCCGAATGAACTGTCGAGGCAAAAAAAAAGGGGACTAAAATCCTTATTTGAGATTTACGTCAGGAGTTCGAGTCTTTTGAAAAAAATTCAAAGAAGGTATCAAATTATCTTTTTGATTTAGTAGATTCTTATATCTATTAGTCATTTATATATTATTTTTTTAAACTCTGTCCTCCTAGATTAAAATAGATTAGTATATACAAATGTTATCCTTACCTTAAAATTATTTTAAAAAAAAAAGAAGAGAATACCCGAATGATACAATACTGTTTCGGGTAAGCCTGTCAACGGGTCGGGTCTAGACCCGGATCCGGACCGGATCCGTGAAATTATTGCGGGTATGGATAGGGATTTAATTCCGTTTTTCGGATCCGGATCCGGATCCGTTTTGTCAAACAAAAAAACGGGTCGGATACGGAATATAGTATTCCGACCCGTATTAGACCCGGATCCGGATATAAATGAATTAATAATTTTAAATATATATATTTATCAATATAATTTGATTAGAGTGATTATTTTAATAAAGTTAATTTGATTTCTTTTCTTATTTGGTTTTTTCTTTGCATTAGTTAAAAATTAGTTTACAAATATATTTTTTTTCATTTTTATTAGAAATTATAAAATTTGCTAAATTTGTTCGGGTAGACCGGGATCCGGATCCGGGACCCGCCGGACCCGCCAGATCTGGATCCGGAACATAGAATAAAAGACCGTCGGGTAAACGGGTCGGGTCCGGCATAGTAATTCGGGTCCGGGTCCGGAATAATGAATTCCGGCCCGGACCCGGCCCGTTGACAGCCCTAGTTTCGGGCATCATGAGCACGTGCGAATTCTCAACACTAGGAAATAAAATTTTTAAGGGAAATTTGCCAAATTGGTCCCTAACATTTACCAAAAACATTTTTTTAGTCATTTACATATAAAATCAGCCAAAATGATCCTTCACATTTAAATTGTGAGCCAATGTGGTCCTATTGCTCGTTTTTGCTCATTTCTCCGGCTAAAAATAGCACGCCTCTCTCGCGTGGTCATATTTTTAGGGGCAAAACCGGAAACACATTTCATTACCTGTTAAAAGTAAAAGGTGTGGACAACTACCAAAATACACATTTCACCTTTGGCCCTCAAAGTTTCAAGAAACCCTAAATTGCATCCCACCGCCACGCCCTCAACTGACTCAGCCACCTCCTCCCTCGCTATCCCTTCTCCTCTCTCCATTGTTCGTCCTCCCCCTCCCCCTCCTCATCGCCAGCATTTCTCCAACCTCCGGCGAGCTCTCTCCTTCGACGATGATATTGATGCGAGGGACTCACAAGACGAGGGAGAGGATGAGGAAGAGCACCAGGAGGACGAGGAGGAGCTTCTCGAGCTGGAGCCCCGAATCGGATCTTGCCGGGTCCGGGAAGCTGCCGATGAGTTGTCTGTGGGAGGTGTTGAGAAGGCTCCCGCCTCCAACACTGTTGTCGGCGGCCAGGGTTTGCAAAGGATGGAGGGACACGAGTAAGCGGCTTTGGCGGGCGGCGGAGGAGCTGAGGCTTAGGGTTCCAGCTAAGGCCCAAATTGGATTCGTGGGATCGATGTTGCACAAATGTCCTGGACTTGTTAGACTCTCACTTAGAATGGAAAGGTTAGGACTTTCGGATATAAGTAAACAAGAACCAGATCTATGGATTCATCAAGCACATCACTTATACAGGAGAATTACAAAATAATTTTCGCCACCATTCGGGGATGCAATTCAGGTTTCTTGAAAACTTTGAGGGCCAAAGGTGAAATGTGTATTTTGGTGGTTGTCCACACCTTTTACTTTTAACAGGTAATGAAATGTGTTTCCGGTTTTGCCCCTAAAAATATGATCACGTGAGAGAGACGTGCTATTTTTAGCCGGAGAAATGAGCAAAAACGAGCAATAGGACCACATTGGCTCACAATTTAAATGTGAAGGACCATTTTGGCTGATTTTATATGTAAATGACTAAAAAAGTGTTTTTGGTAAATGTTAGGGACCAATTGGACAAATTTCCCAATTTTTAAAGCTGGGGGCAGCGGTGAATTATGGACGGACGGTATCCAGCTGGCAAATCATTGCACAAAATAGAAAAGCACAACTGCCAGCCGCATCCCTGCACAATGCGAACTATTCGCGTTCCCATGCCAGGGAAATTCACACGCACGCATATATGTATTCGCAATTTCGCAGCAGCAGCAATGACTGATTTCAAGAATTCCCTTTGAAAATAAAAACACCCCACTCTCAATCTCTCTCTCCCTCTCTCCCACACCTATCTTTTTTCATTCAATTTCAGTTCTTGCTTCTGTGGGAGAGAGGAGAGGAGATAAAGAAACAACATAAAATTAGAAGATAATTCTATTATACCGAGAAACCATGCAGAAACTCAAGGATCAAAGGTCAAGATCCTCCAAACCCACAACCATACACGGGTTGGCTCAGTCTGGGGATCTCATTGCCTTCCAAAAGCTACTTCGTGACAATCCTTCTCTACTCAATGATCGAAACCCTGTTGTAAGATCTCCTTGTTTGTTTCTTTAATTTATCTATGAAGTAAATAGAAATCCCTTTTGTATTTCAATTTTACATTTCTTGTCTGTCCCGGAATTTCCCAAGTTAGTCTTGTTTGCTTTTGGTCTCTGAGATTGGTCATAAATTGTTTTTTAGTGGATGCATTGTGAATATTCCCCCAATTTCCGTCTAGTAAAACCTTTTAATTTTATTATTGATTGAGTTTTATATGAGGAATTCCTCAGGAGGAAATAAATATTTCATCTTGGTTAAGATCTGATAAGCTTGCTAATACGCACTTAAACGTTTAGTTAAAAGCACCTGATTAACAGTAGTTAAGCCACATTTGCTGTGATCTTGACTTCAAAACGTGAGTCCTTCCAATTTTTTGGTTGTGCTAGTCAGAGTGAGGCTGACTGCATAAATTGAGCTGGAACGGTAGTTGGTCACTATCAAAGTAGAAGGTGATGCAGGTTCTTAGTGTAGTTTGCTAATGTGCTAATTTTTGCTCTGGGAGCCTCATTGGAGTCAGCATGGTCTAAACGTAGTAGTTTTTGAAGCAAACAACCATTGTAAATTGTAATCATGATGAAACTTGGAGTGGAGACAGGTTTTGTAGAAGACCTTTGTTACGTCAGAAAGCTTCTTCAAATACATAGAAGTGAAGATCATTTCTCAGTTTAATACAAAGACATTTCGTGACATGTTAGCTACCATCTTGCTCTAGAAATTGAGAAATCTTAGAATGTTGAATGATGGGAACTCAATGACTTTGAGTAATCTTATCTAGTGAAATCAGTAGATAGTGTTTACATTTATGTATCATGAAATGAAATAGCTACTTTCTGGTTGTTAACCTTTCATTGTAAGTTTTCTCTTTTCTAGGTATAATATTGTCTTAAGCTGATTGTCTTGGCATTAATGCTACTTTGATTGCTTGCTCACTTATGAAGCCTGGAGTGGAGACAGGTGTTGGAGAAGACTTTTTACTACATTATGAAGCTTCTCCAAACAGACAGAAATGAAGATTGTTTCTTGGTTAATACAAATTCAGAAGACTTTTCATAACTTGTTATCTATTATCATGCAAGTATGATTGAACAGTTGGAATTTCAATGAAATGTTATATGGTGAATTGAGCAGTGTTGTATACATCTCAATCATGCAATGAAATATTCATTTTCAGGTTGTTAACCTTCTGTTGTAAGTTTTCCTGTTGCAAGATATGACCTTATCTTAACTTAATTGTCTTGGCATTAATGCTACTTTGATTGCTTGTTCATTTATTTACTTTCAAAGTAGAGAATTCCTTTGTTAGAAGCTATTTACAATCTTTACTTGCTAATTGGCTTCAAAATGAGTATGCACTTCATCTATAAGTATGGTCTTAATGATCTTTTTGCTGGTTGGCTGCAGATGGCACAGACACCACTTCATGTTTCTGCTGGTTACAACAATGTTGAAATAATTAAGCTTCTGCTTGATTGGGCTGGACCAGAAAAGGTGGAGTTGGAGGCCAAGAATATGGTATGTAAAAGCTATATTTTTATAGTGCTTGTTTAATCTTCTTCTTGAATGAAAATGTCACGATTGAAGGATTCTATGTGAGTTTTATAAAATCTAATTGCAATAAATGATTTTAGTTATGTATTTGGCGGATTAGCAGCCGATTATTAAGTAGTACGTCCATATTTGGAGCTTTTGACCTTCAAAGGACCTTGTCTTCTCACTTTAATATAACCTAGAACATGTGTTGTGGTTTTTTATGGTTTTCTGAGAGAATGTTTTGTTAGAGTGTTTTCCTATCCATACATAGCTCATATAGATGTGGTCCACATTCATCTGTATGCTATATCTCGCATATCTAGGTGTAATGTTCTATGCATATAGGGTTGTAATTGGATGGGAATCAGACTCAGACGTCATTGAATTTGAAAAAGCCAATTAGGATCCGGGCAATTGGACCTTAGTTTAGATCCATACAAGAACTTCAGGCTTCCTTCCTGTTTTACTGCTAACCAAGCTTGGAGCAATAAACTTTTGTAACAATGTATGAGTTCAAAGCAGGCATAAGTTAAAGAAGAATTTATTTATTTATTATTATTTTTGTTGTTTGTGTGTGTCTGCGTGGCTTCTTTCATTATTATCCTTCTCAGCAATGGTGTTCAATGTCTTGACAGAATTTGTACAATGCTCTTATTAGTTTGACATCTTAACTTTTGTAGTATGGGGAGACCCCACTGCACATGGCTGCTAAAAATGGATGTAATGGAGCTGCAAAGATGCTCCTAGCTCATGGTGCCTCTATAGAAGCCAAAGCAAATGTGTGTATTCTTCTTATTCCTGTTTCATTCTACTCAAAGACTTTATTTTGAACATGGATATTATAATTTTCTACTTACTGAAATGCATACATTCTTCTCCATTGTGCATTTCAGAATGGCATGACCCCGTTGCATCTTGCTGTTTGGCATTCACTTCGAGCAGAAGATTATTCAACTGTTAAGACATTGCTCGAATATAATGCCGATTGCAGTGCCAAAGATAATGTATGATGCCTGCCATTTGGTTTGCATATCTCAGTGCTATATTTTTGTTCGTCCTCATTAGTGAAATGTCGTTTAATTGCAGGAGGGTCTGACTCCTTTGAATCATCTTTCACAAAGCCATGGGAGTGAAAAATTACGTGAAATTCTCCACAAACACCTTGAAGAGCAGAGAAAGCGTAAAGCTATTGAAGCATGCAGCGAGACTCAAGCAAAGATGGATGCACTGGAAAATGAGTTATCAAACATAGTTGGACTAGATGAGCTCAAAGTACAACTCCGAAAATGGGCAAAGGGGATGCTCTTGGATGAGAGGCGACGCGCACTTGGACTAAAAGTTGGTGCTAGAAGGGCACCTCACATGGCCTTCTTGGGAAATCCTGGAACAGGTAATAGGAAGTAAGATTTTGCCAATTATGTTGGTGGAAGCACTTTATGTTTAATCAGCTTTTTGCATTCTGAGAATCATTTTCATGTTAAATGGAAAAGGTTGAGATGGATTCATACTCCAGTGGTTTCTCATTCAATCGATTGGAACTTCTCTGCAGGTAAGACTATGGTAGCACGAGTGCTTGGAAAATTACTCCACATGGTTGGAATTCTTCCTACCGACAGGGTAACAGAAGTGCAGCGAACAGATTTAGTTGGGGAGTTTGTGGGTCACACAGGACCAAAGACAAGGAGAAAGGTACCTTGTGATAATTCTGTTTTAATAATTTCTTACACACTACTTTTGCCAGCAATTCTGTGCACTAATTGACGAACAACTTTTTGAGCCACATGCAGATACAAGAAGCTGAAGGTGGAATTCTTTTCGTGGATGAAGCCTACAGACTCATACCCATGCAGAAGGCAGATGATAAAGACTACGGGGTGGAGGCTCTAGAAGAAATAATGTCAGTCATGGATAGTGGAAAAGTTGTTGTAATCTTTGCTGGCTACAGTGAACCAATGAAGCGCGTGATTTCTTCAAATGAAGGCTTCTGCAGAAGGGTAACAAAGTTTTTTATTTTTAACGACTTCAGTTCTGAGGATCTTGCCAAGATTCTTCATCTTAGAATGACTAATCAAGTTGAGAATAGCTTGTTGTATGGATTTAAGTTGCACCCCTCGTGTAGCATAGATGCTGTTGCAGCACTTATAGACAGAGAAACAACGGAAAAGCAGCGCCAGGAAATGAATGGAGGTCTAGTAGATCCGATGCTAGTCAATGCAAGAGAAAATTTGGATTTGAGGCTCAGTTTTGACTGCATAGATACAGATGAATTACTTACAATTAGGTTGGAGGATTTAGAAGCTGGTCTCGTGTTGCTATCTCAATGAGCGGTATTCAGCCGAAAACAAAGTGTTTTTAATTGAAAGAAGCGTGGCAGTGAACCCATAAAGAAAAAGAAACAGTGAAGGAAGGAGGAACACGAAAAGGAAGTAGTAAAAGCTAGGAATCATTTGTTTAGCAGATATCATTTTTTTTCTTAAAGATTGCAGTCATTGCAACTTAAACTCAAGCCAGCTCGAGCAGTTCCGGAGTGGGGGCTCTTGTTCTTTTGATTCTTTTGCTTGCAAGTCGGAAGTTATTCTTTGATATCTTTCGTTTCACAGACACGAGCTGTAATAGGTCACTAAGATGTTGGATTGTCTTGTATTCAATGTATCGGATGTAAAATAACCATCATATTGGTTGGAACTTGAAGTCAATAATTGGAGGCAAAGGCAGCAAAGAAAATTCCTTTTGAACTTATTTCCGACTCTCTTGTGGGCTCCTTTTACTTGTCACCATTTACCATAAACAAACCAATCAAAACGGTTTGTCCTGAACTAATTGATTCTGGGCTTGTCGGTCGGCGCAGCGGATCTTTTGGCGCAGCGGATCTTTTGTTTCACGTTCTGTGTTATTCTCTGTTCTATTTTTTATTTTATTGTTATTTCTCTAAGGTGGCTTTTAAGAAAAAGCAACAGAGTTTTTGGCGTGCGAGCCAATACTAGACTTCATTTTCAAAGTAAAGTCCAAGAAAATTACCATTAACCCAAAAAAAAAAGCAGCAAAAAACTTCAAGTGGATCTCAAAGTAACGGTGAGAATAGATCGGGCAATAGTAATTTGTGCATGTATTGTCTGATAAACAACTTCTCTATTCTGCTGTTCATCGTTCGTACATATTCTTGTTTGTTTGTGAAACATATAAAGGAGGATAATAAAGGAACAATAAAAGTAAAATTCCAGAACACGTATGATACTGATGATATATCCTCTCCTCAAAATTACACCCACTAAAAGGCACACAAATTTTCTGAATTTGGAGTCCTCTGAATCTGAGCGGAGAGCGCTATGGTTCATGGCTCCCTGGCTCTACTATCTACAACGCTACCATCGTCGTCATCAAATTATTCACCACTCGCTAACCCCGATTGGCCCTCCTCCTCGTCCTCCCGCCTTTTCTCCGTATTTATCCGAAATTCTGGGCTCAGAAATTTCAAGCTGAGGGCCTCCTTCAAGCAGCAGCAGTCGAAATTAGTGGAAGCCGATAATGGGTCGGCTGAGCATTTTCTGGAGAACAATTCCATTGCAGATTTCATGAGGTTCATCAAGCGAAGCTCAAATTCCAAGTCTAGTGATGATGCAGAGGGAGGAAGCTATAGAAGTTCTGAGTTGCAGACTGCCGTTGTTAGTTATCGCAAGAAGTTCCCTTGGTCCCTTCTTCAACCATTTCTTCAGGTGAGCATTTTTTCTTTTTATTTTTCTTTTTGTGAACAAAGGGGGCAATTTTTTGCCTTTGTTTCTGATTTGGGTTTTAAGAATGCTTTGATTGTTTGTGAAGCTTTCAATCGTGGAGTCGTTTTAACTACGTCACTCTGTTAAAACTTTTGGTGCAGGTTGATTTGGTTTCGACTATACACATTGCAGATAAAGAGTAAGTAGCCGATTGGATTGCTATTTTTAGGAGTTTTTGTCGAAAAATATACTTTTAAGGATTTGATGTAGGTGAGATAAAAAGGTCATTGAGAGTGTTTATATTATTTGTGTATAGATTTATAGACCTGTGTCCGTGGTGTTCCTTTTGTGGGATATGTTAATGAGGAGAAACGAGGATAATCAAAAAGTGTAATGAAGAAGAATGGATATAAAAATAACTAAAGCATGAGACAAGATGACAAAGACCTTTTGGTTTAGGAGATTCAAGAAAACTAGTGCATTTTATCTCTAACTCTTACTCATAGCAAGCAAGATTATGCTCTATCTCCTTGTTAGAGCTGGGAAGCATTAGGCTGGCTGGCAGTGAATTGGAAAATGGCTTTGAAATAGTAAAATGAAATTTTTCTTGAAATTTTCTTATTGGTGATTTGGATAATCTTTTGTTGTTTGCTGAACTTCTATTGATCATTGATCTTTTTTGTTGTACTTGTTAATTAGACAAGCCAATGATAAATTCTGCTTGTAAACCTATTAGATCATGGAGCAATCTGTGGTATAGTTGATCCAATTCTTACATGTGAGTTTCTTAACTGCTGAGGTACTCTCAGTGTATGAATCTAATCCTTATTGTTCTCTGTATTTCTTTCTTAGGGGCTTTGCTCATCTTTTATTTTTTCACTCTCATGAAGAACTTATAATCAAGGCGTAGTCATTCTTTTGGTGGACCAGCATCCTTTTAGCTTCTGGTTGCTTTATCTGAGATCTATTTGCTGTTTCAGTGATATAATCTGTCATAGTCTTGTGTTTGGACGTAAACATGCGATCTTTATGCTGTTCCTCAGGAGGAGAAAAAATTCAAGATGCCCATCTCTCGTCAAAACCATAATAGACAATCATCCTCCTCTTTTATGCGGATTCACAATTGCCTAAATCATTAACTTTTCACATATTTAACTTTTTATTAATCTATCATGTAATAAAAAGCGTTGAGAACTTTGGGTATTTGTGTTGACTGCATTTAAGTTGTAAATGGTGGAAATTGTGACATGATTTAATCTTTTTATTTGCAGGTACTTTGAGACCCTGCAAAAAGAACTTGAATTGTATGATTGTGTCCTTTATGAGATGGTTGCTAGCAGAGAAAGTCTAGAAAGCAGAAGAAATCATGCTGCTAAAAAGAAACTTAAAGGTTCAGCCTCAAGGGGATTTAATATTCTTGGCTGCATTCAGAGGCAGATGGCTAATTTTCTTATGCTTGATTTCCAGTTAGATTGTATTGACTACCAGGCTGAGAACTGGTACCATGCAGATCTTGATTTTGAAACCTTTAAGTTACTTCAGGTAGGATCTATTCCTTTAGGCTTCAGTATTACCTTCTGCAAGAGCACTTATTTTATTCCAAATTCATCTTAATTTGGGTCTTGGCAAGGTCATCTAGATACTTCATATAGAATGTTAGCTTTTCTTGAAAATCACAAGGAGAACTCTTTTGGTTGGTACTCATTTGCATCCTAATACCCTTTTAAGTGCCATAACGTGGCATTCCCTTGTTTTTGGTCATATTGTTCCGATGAGAAATTTGTTCAAGTTACATTTTGTCTAGAAAAAGTTAGTAACGTCCTATATTGTTACAGCATGAAAAAGGTGAGAGCTTCTTTACATTTGCCAGAGATATGACACTTAGATCGACAAGGGCCATTGTGCAGCCTACATCAATTCCAGAAGATCTTGGTCCTTGGAGATCCAAACTTTTATGGGCTTCTCGAGTGCTGCCCATGCCTCTTGTTGGACTCTTCATCATTGGAAGTGTTTGCACAGATGTGGGAAACCAGGCATCTGAATTTCCAGAATTGGAAGCATTGTCCAGGCTTGATTTTGGTGCTGCAATGAAGGTTTTTCTTGCAAAAAGGCTAACGTCTGAGTAAGTCTTTCGTTTTGTAGTATCATCTGCCTTTGGCACAACTTGCTGTGTGAGAAATACTCTATGTGAATGTGATGTACTTTTCAAGGTAACTTTTGGAATAGAGTGATTGATATTGGATAAACCAATTGGAAAGAAATCTAAGGACTAGAAATGTATGTTAATAGATTTTCATGACAAATTGAAAAGAAGTGTATGCTAAGTACTGAAAACCTTCATTTGAAGTCCATGGATAAATGAAATTGTGGAAGCCTTAGTTTCCCGTTGGAAGGCCTAGACTAGCTAGTACAAAATGAGGCATCACATGACTGTTTTCAGACCAATTTATCATTACTTTGAAGTAGTGAATTGCATTTTACCATATCTTTGTTGTTCTAGTACTGATGAAATGCTGCTGATGCTTAGGTTCACACAAGTGACGGCTGATGTAGAGGAGAGATCTGTAATCATTGGTGAGAGAAACAGAGCTGCAACAGAAGCACTTGACAGAGCAATTGCTGAAGGTCATAACAAGGTTGCTATACTTTATGGGGGAGGGCACATGCCAGACCTGGGACGGCGATTGAGGGAGGAATTTGACCTTGTCCCATCTCGAGTGCAGTGGATAACAGCTTGGTCCATAAAGGGCCATAACCTAAGAAGTAGCTCCCTTCCCTTTTTGAAGAAAATGGCAGAAGTCTTGGGTTGGCCTCTAAACCGTTATCAGACTCTGGCACTGCTCATCTTTTCATCTGTCCTGGCATTGGATCTCTGGTTCTGGGAACTCCTCTTTGGTACTGCTGTTAATTGGTTTTCACATGTTGCTTCAGACATTATTGGAGTTGTTTATAGTGCAAAAGTCACATGAATTCCTGTTGAAAATTAATCTTGGAAAGGTGAGGTAAAGCTTTAAACATTGTAGATATTGTAGACTTACCACTGGTATTCTTTGTAGCCTATTGTTACTTGTTAGAGGTAAATGATTCTAGAACCGCCGCAGGCCTTTTCAAGTGCTTTGTCGAGCACCGCAGTAGCTGAAGTTAAAACACAAAATATTTTGTTTTGTAGATAATCTGCACGATGGCATGAAAATCAATGCCTTTCACGGTGCTACATTACGGTACCATTCCTTTTTTTTTAAAAAAAAAAAAAAATTTATTTCGTCTGCTTTAGCTTGCATGGATGACGAGTCCGGATAGTTGGCTCTTCCTTCATGCATTTGAGTTCGGGTGATTCGATTTCACGTGGTGCATGCTATTGCAACTACACCAGACTTTTATGTATCAAGTGTGCAACCAAGTAACAAGCGGTTAGCAAACCGCAGAGCAACTAAGTTTGATAAAGTTACAGCAAGGGGTCATCTGTTACAAGGGATGATTTGAAAACTCGTATGAATTGGACCAGCAATGTCAACAATTTATCACGAAAGAGGGAGGGAGCGCTTCAATACATTCAGAATATGACGAAATTAAACAGTGAAAGCCGGCAGTTATGGCAAAAGATAGCAGCATAAAGAACATGCCCGCGCTGGGTTGGTTTGCTGGTGGAAGTAGCCTCCTTAGGTGAGTTTTATCTGGGTTCGATCCCGGGCAGCAATTCAGTTGTTATCTTCTTCAGCATTGGTCGGACCCGCTCTGCTGGAGCACTGTGGAATTAATCGGGTGTAGATTCGGATATCACAGTGATGAAAAAAAAAAGAAGATAGCAGCATAAAGAACACAAGAGACCTAAAAGAAAGGGAAATGATATAGCATTCCTTAAAAAATCTCAGGCACTATTTAAAAACTTCCTCTGATGTAAAAAAAAAAAAAAAGGGAAGGAATGGCTGAAATTTTTTTGAGGAGTGTCAATTCTGGTGCTACCAGTTGCATACTAGATTTTTTTGTTTAATACGATAGAATCTATTCTAAATTTATTCCTATTCTATATTACCGGGGGAGGGGGGGGAGTTTTGAAGAAATCCAAGGAAAAATCGGAGAATGAATGCCTACGTACCCGCTAACGAAAATCTCCAAAAAGCCTGAATTTTTAGGATGCAGGTAAGGGGATACGCCCAGGCAAAGCTTTTAAAGCTCTCTTGGTACTCTTGGTTGCATACTAGTTTCTTAGTACAGTGGATTGGGGATATTGTAGCATAATTTTGGGATTCTGGTCCTGATTGTCTGCTTCTCAGACAATCCACAGACAATCCGGATTCCGGTCCGGTCTACTCCCAACCCACTACTATCTACACCATTTATGCCGCATTGGGCTGGGCAATAAAACAGCAAATTTACACCGAATACTGAGAGGTGAGTGCAGGCATCAGGGAATAATATTCAGCACTGGAACCAAAAAACGGCACCCATTTCCAAGCCCACATTCACGCTCTCCATATAAAAACAACTATTCCTGCGTCATGGCTTATAAAATCGATCCCTCATCTATTCATATCTAATGCTCCGTAGCTAGTGGAAGAAGAACAAGGCTGCGCGGAAGTGGTAAAGTGCAAAGAAATCTTGAGGTGCACTTCCCTTTGAAGTTTGAAAATACACCGCGTTCTTGGTAAAGCAATCTAGCCACTCACTCAATTTCTAGCCTTCAACTCAGTGTATGTGGTTTTTGCATGCTCTTTTAATTCTTGAGAGTGGTAAGTGGTAACAACTAACATCAGCCTCACTCTTCACTTCTCGAATGCCGAACAAGCATCGCTAGTTGAGCTTTACCTGCCCAATTGCCTACTGAAGAAAGAAAGGAAGGGACCAAAAAAAAGAAGGTAAAAAAAAAAGACACGGCCAAGTGCTTAGTAGCATCATTTTAAAGGGTGCTTTGGCTGTCAACCAACCAAATGGTGTCGCTTTGGCCGAGTGGTTAAGGCGTGTGCCTGCTAAGTACATGGGGTTTCCCCGCGAGAGTTCGAATCTCTCAGGCGACGCTTTCTTTTTTCCTCTCCTTTTCTGACGGCAAGAATTTCTCATTCTGTGGTTGCTTCCTCTTTCTTTGGTTTCTGACGAGTGACCGTGTTGGGGAACACAGGAAGCCAGGTTCCCGGAGCGGGGCAGAATTTGGTTCCGGGTCCACTGATTGCTTTGGATTTGTTGAGGCAGTTAATTACTGTAAGCTCATTCATTAATCATTTTTCCCCTGAGACACTCTATCAAATACATGATAGTATGACATCAAACGCAAAAAAAAAAAAATCCATAATTTTCAGTAATAGCTCTTTTAGCAGGCCGTATTTTTATCGTTGATTTTGTTTTCTATATATATATTGATAGAATTAGATGACCGTGTTTGAAGATGGTGGAGAAAGGAAAAGCTATTCGCGCGGTATATACTCACTGAGAGGTTAACCTATCCGAATTTTCGGCCGCCAGGCTTGAATTAGATGCTCAGACAATGTTCTTCCTCTCAAACATAAACATTGGCATTAGTGATTGGTCTAAAATGGAAAACCTTAACTACTACAAGATGCTAAGATTAATGATTGGCCTAAGATGAAATGAAGATTAGCTGTTTTAGAAGAGAACACACGAATTTTATAGTTTTAGAAGAGAGATGTTATGTCGTATCCACTTGTCCTATCCTAGGTTACCAGAGAAATATGTTCCGTGCGAGCAAAGTTGAGTCAAGAACCTCAATGCCAGCTTACAACTAGGCTTTTCCATTTTCTGAAAATCAATAGAGAGTCGGGTACGTAGTTCGTTCATGACCAATTTCATGCCATTCCCCAAGTTACGTAAAGCCCACATCAATCCAGCGTATTTTTCAGGTTTGGTAAGCATCACGCTTCCCGTGAACAAACAGTTACATAGCCAAAATCATGCATCCTTGTAGTAAAGTTTAGGCTTACGCAGTCCGCAGGGAGTATGCAAAAGTGCATCCATTTTACTGCCATTTCAGATTAGAAGGGATTATTAACTAAGAGTGGAATTGAGTTGAGTTTTGCTGAGAGACGGCGGAGTGAAAAAGAGTTCTACTGGAAAACAAAGACACAGGGATAGTGGATAGGATTTTCAGAGTCACATGCACTTGTAGAGTATTTTAGGCAATTAGCCACGATTATTCAGGGTATATCGATTGCATAAACATTCTTTTCCGCCGAACATAGTTTCATTTAAAATTGTACAATGAATTACAAGTTAAAGGTAGTTAAGTGCTGCAAGAGAGGGGGGAAAGAGATGAGTTGAGTGGTTCGGAAAGAAAGTGTAAGTGAAAGTTCGTAAGTTCGACCCTCTAATTTACACTTAAACGGAAAAAAAAAAAAAAAAGGGTGCTGCCATCCAAAGTTAAGAGTGCAAAGTGCAACGCGAGAATAGTTTAGGCTAATCTGTTAACACAAATTAGTTTTGCCATGCTAAGCAGTTATACATCCATCCATAATCCTTCCTTGTACTTTGGCAAATCTGTTAGCGCAATTACCACGAAGTACTCATTTACGAAAGCGCTACACCCCGAACGATTACACAGAATCAGTTTTAACCAAAAATCCACTCACCCATGCCTAACAACAGTGCTCGTTTATCCATTTCTCAATACAGATTACGTTCTCCCTACTTTAAACCAAAATTCGACGTCTTAGCAGTTGGTTCCTCAGTAATAGGACCCCCACAAATTTTTCTCGGCAAATAATACAGCGCATGGAAGAAGGAGGCGGAGTGAAATCAGCTACGGATGCCAGGGAGACGGCGGCACTAGAGTCACAGTCCCAATCCACCAACCAGAGCCCTCCTCGCCTTAACAAGTATGCCTTGGCATGTGCCGTTTTGGCTTCCACCAATTCCATTCTTCTGGGCTACGGTAATTACGTTAACATCATCGACCGTCCGTCGCTCATATTACTGCTGTGTTACTTCTTGCATTCCCATAATTTTTTTGCACTCGATTGGTCAGCTTACTCGTACGTGTTCAGGTTAACAATTTTTTATTTTATTGGTAGTCTTTGAATGGAGCATTTTAATTATTAGTATTACTGAGTTCTAATGAATTGATTAATTTTAGACATCGGGGTGATGAGCGGAGCAGTGCTGTACATCAAGGATGCGCTCAAGATTTCATCAGTTAAGGTAGAGATTTTGGTGGGCACACTCAACGTGTGTTCTTTGATTGGATCATTCGCCTCCGGCAAGACTTCCGATTGGATAGGCCGGCGTTACACCATTGTCTTGGCCGCCTTGACATTCTTGATCGGTGCACTACTAATGGGACTGGCCCCCTCGTTCCCCTTCCTCATGGCCGGAAGGGTCATTGCCGGTATCGGAGTGGGATCCTCTCTCATGATTGCACCGGTGTACTCCGCCGAGGTATCTCCCGCCATGACGCGCGGCTTCCTCACATCACTCCCTGAAGTGTTTATTAACGTAGGCATATTACTGGGATATATCTTCAACTACGCATTCTCAGGGCTTCCACCACACATTAACTGGAGGCTAATGCTTGGCCTGGCCGGCTTTCCGGCCATTGCTATAGCTATTGGGGTGATGAAAATGCCGGAATCACCCCGGTGGCTAGTCATGAAGGGCAAGACTGGAGAAGCCAAGAAGGTGTTGATCAAAACTTCTGATAATGAGCGAGAAGCCAAGGAAAGGCTTGACGAAATAACCAGAGCTGCTTCTTTGGTGGTTGAAGATGGTACTACTAGTCCAAATGGAAGCCCAAAATCAGAATTGCCCAGCTCAAATGATTGGCACGGACAGGGGGTCTGGAAGGAACTTCTAAGGCCTTCTAAGCCGCTTCGCAGGATTCTTGTCGCCGCCATTGGGATAAACTTTTTCATGCAAGCCTCGGGCAATGATGCAGTTGTTTACTACACGCCTTCGGTGTTTAAGTCCGCCGGAATTCATAGCCGGAAGGGGCTTGTTGGGGTCACGGTCATAATGGGAATAGCCAAGACTTCCTTTGTGTTGGTTTCAGCTCTCTTCTTGGATCACTATGGTAGGAGGCCCTTGTTATTAATGGGAACGACGGGCATGGCCTTTTCGCTGGCTGGGTTGGGAATTGGGTCCACGTTCCTTCAGCGTTCTCGCAGGAAGCCTTTGTGGGCAATTGCACTGTGTGTGCTAGCTGTTTGTTCTGACGTGTCCTTCTTTTCAATTGGGCTTGGTCCGATTACCTGGGTATACTCTTCCGAAATTTTCCCAATGAGATTGCGGGCCCAAGGTTCCAGCCTAGCGATCTCAGTCAA